TTCCACAACGGATAGCATTGCACTGCATAAAGGCTTCTGATCCCTAGTGTTTACAATGAAAATAAGTTAATATATTTTCATGCATCATTTTGGGGTGCCTTTATGCATAGAAATCAGTAAATACCACCACCACTAATAATAATAATATAGAGAGAACAAAGTGCACAGACATGGGGTCTTGCCAAGGATTAGTGGCACATCTGTTCTACACCTTGTTGGAACTGGTTTCTGCTTTTGCAATTCAATGCAGCTATGCCTTTTTCCAAATTGTAATCCCTCTTCCATAGCCTAAATTGGTAAAGTGACCAAGAACCTACACTAGATGTGGGTCAAATCTGATCTGGAAACTTAAAATAAAAAAAACACCCTTCTTCTTCTTCTTCTTCTTCTTCTTCTTCGTCTTCTTCTTCTTCTTCTTCTTCCTCTTCTTCTTCTTCTTCTCCTTCTCCTCCTCCTCCTCCTCCTCCTCCTCTTCCTCCTCTTGAAGGATACCAGCAGTCTTACAGGCAATAGAGCTGAACCATACAAGCAAAGAGGCAAATCAGCAGCAGGTCCTTTGCATTATAAAACAGAGGCAAGTTTAATTATTGTTCCACTGCTGGAAGCCCAGATTGCACACAGAGGGATTTTGTTACCAAGGCCTCATTTGTATGGGTCTGTTGACAAATGCTAAATTCACACCAAAAGAAATAAACATGCCATTCAAAATTACATAGTTTCCATTCATTTCTGTCATTTTGTATGGCAACCAGCATTCATTTCCTCCTACAGTCTTGGTTTTGGAGGATACCACCACACTCACACACACACACACACACACACAGAGAGAGAGAGAGAGAGAGAGAGAGAGATACACAAACATACCACACTCTCCCTCCCAGTATTGCTCTGGCTTTTCCTCTGACCACTGGAATGCAGGCCTATTGTTTCTTGCTGTGAGGAACAAACATTGTGAGTACTTGGCAAACAGCCTGTATTATTTTTAGAAAGTTTGCAATGCTCTCTGTGTTTTGTTGGGAGGGAATTTCCCAGGCATCCCTGTGGCCACAGCGCCATCTGTTGTCTAATATTCAGATAGCAAGCGATTAATAACTTTCAAAAGGTAGCAATATATCTGTGAAGATTCTCAGTCATCCTAGTGAGGTTTCCTGGACGTTGAGTCATGGCAACTGGACTTCTTTCTTATTTGGTTGAAACGTTTCGCTACTTATCCAAACAGACTGAAGAAGCTACTTGGATGAGTAGCGAAACGTTTCAACCTGATAAGAAAGAAGTCCAGTTCTCAACTTCCAGATAACTTTCAAAAGAGTTTATCCCTGGGCAGCACCAGATTCAGACATGCACAGACCCAGCTGGGAAAGGATGGCCCATCACTTGTTTTTGGCTTGTGACTCCAATCAGCCCTATCCAACGTGGAGGGTCTATGGGAGTCTCAATCCAAAAACACCTGGATGAAGAGGGCTGTCCATTCTGGTCATTCTACCTGACAGATAGTCACCTTACAGGCACTGAAACTGCTTTCCTGTTTTTCTGGCTAGCTTTAATATCTCTACCACCACCACATTTCAAATGACTTGACTTTTGTCCTTGTCTTTCTTCATTTATCTTCCTTTCATATAGTATGCATGATTTGGATCTTGGTTTCCAGTGACTTTCTTTGCTAACTCCAGCCTCTTCCTTATTTATTATTTCAAAAACCAAAGGGACATCTACACAACGTAGAGGTTTTGGCCCAATATAGTTTTTCTTCCTCAGCTTGCCTAACTCAAAGAAAGAGATATGAAATTGGTACAGAGCTTTCCAGTCTGGATTTGGCAGAGTGGGCATTTCAACATTAGTTTACTTAAATACCTAAATAAAGGTATTTAAGTAAAAAGTAAACATTAGTTTAACATAGGGGTTAAAGGATGAGTATGTTTCTCCATTGTATGTGCTTTATCTACTCATGCATTTGCTTCACCATTTCACTAAATCCAAAACAGCCCTTCAAAATATTTTGGCATAGAGGGACTACAGACATATCCAGGCAGTTCTCACTTCTGTCTTATCCCAGTAACCATAGTACAGATCATATGCTCATCTTCTGGAATCCTCTATCACTGGCTAAATCTATATGAGGGAAATTTCTGATTGAATTTGCAGGTAGCATACCTATGTTTAAATTCCTGTTTGTAAAAGCCAGGAAATTCAATTCCCCAAACAAACCAACACACACACACACACACAAACACACACAAAACCACAAAA